CTTTTCACTTTGCATTGCTGAACTTGAAAAGAAAGGTTGCAGACAATTCACCTATTGGTTGTTTTTTTTAAATTCTAGATCAAATGAAAACTCCTGAAGCAATTAAGAAGGAAAAAGTGGGTGTCTTCAAGGTCTTGGAGGAATCATCGGATTCCAATGCAGAATGTGTCTTTTAATGTGCAAATGGCCTGTTGTCTTACATGACAAACATGACTGACATCAGCTCTCAGAGATGTCATTATACGTACTGATCCTTTATGCTGACTCTTCATGGCCTTTTTCAAATCCCCCAGTTCTTTCAAAGAATGTTAACATGTTCTAAAGTGTAATGCTTGTTATAGTTTCATGTTTGTAGATTTGTTAGCCTCTGATAAAGGATTAAGAGAATGAGCGTGTTTCACATTTTCAGCTAGCTTTTGTGATCAGTGATAAAAACTGGCAAACTTGTGTAAAATCTTCCTGTGGAAGTCCTAAAACACTTTTTTTTTTTTTTAAATACGGTGTTACGATTTTATTTGGAAGGGAAAGAGCATATGCCTTTGTTACAGCTTCTGTTTTGTTTTTTTTTTAACTTCTGCAAATTATTTTGATAAATAAATAAATGTCTGGTTTGTCCGAAGCATTGCAGGTTTTTTGACATGGATACCACCTAGGCTTTGCTTATTTAAAAATCTTATTATTCACTTTTTCTCTATTCGTGTAACCCTTTAGCCCATTTCACACATCAAAATAACACCCAACTATAATAAACCTCTAAAATGAGGGAGCTAAGAGTACCCAAACAAAACTGTAAGGTTTCCTGCTGCAGACAGCAATTATCTATTGACTGGCCTCTAAAGTATGTAGAGGGAGCTCTGGGTACTGGAAAGAGGAGAATGTGTGGATATGTGGAAGACCAAGGACTAACTCTCGGCAAGGGTCAGTCTGAGACTATACTGGGGCAGAAAAGACAGGAATTCAAATTCCAAATCAGCGGGAAGCCTGGTTTTATTCCAGGAGTGACAGGAGGGGAAGTAGATAATAAAGCAGGTGAAGTATATAACTAATTGCATATCTATCCTCTAACAGACAGCTGCAGGCAATATTTTTCAACATGGGCATCAGCTTTTAAACTGTATTATGCTTTGTGAAATGTCTTTTAGGCTTAATGGGAAATGGCAGTTATGGCATTGCAGCTGGAGCTGTCACAATTACAGTTACACTAGTTATACTAAGGCATGGGTAATGTTTCAGAATAAACTACTTAATTCATCAAACTATTGGAAACTACTTTCTTGTTGCTTTATGATCATTTGTAGATGAGACATATAAACACCAGGTGAGTGCCACCTCGCAAGTAGGGAATTCATGTTCTCCATTGGGAGTAATATATTAGCTGATGTGGAGTTATTTTATACTCACACAAAATACATGGTGCCTTACAGAAGTAAAGATAAACAAATAACTGTTAATGAGTATGCTGGCTTTGACTTTTGCCTGTTGAAAGCTGTGTCTCGTGTGCAGTTATTGAAGACTGAAGTTTTCAAGTTTTTGTTCAGTTACTTATTATCCTGACTAACACAAAGTCCAACCTGTGTTGTCTCCGTGTGTTCCTTATATTTGCTGAGCTGCCATCCTAGTTTCTTATGCCTTGTTTTATGCTAGTAAAGACCTACCACAGGAACTGAGAGTAAATGATAGGCATACAATAGAATCTAAATGGAATCATTGCAACAGTTTTTATTAAAACTGACATAACTGCTTCCACACAAGCTTACCCAATTTTAGAAGATTAATTTACTGTGTTCATCCAGCACAGCTATGTGTCACGGCAGGACTGTATGATAGGAAATAAAAATGAACAACTATTTCTAACCCATACACTAGCACAGCTAGGATTTAGTCATAACTGCTTCCTACCTAAGGATGCATAAGCTAGTATTAAGACTAAGGGTAGCATTAGGGAAATGTGTTCACTGTTCAGTGATGTGTTATTTAGAGACTTGCTTTGCAGAGGTGTGACTGCTTTTTTAGCCCACTTCCAGAAGGTAAAAGCAATGCCAGGTTTTGCATTTACTGCTGTAGAAGAGCCCAATTCTCTTTTTTTTTTTTCTTTTGGCTCCCAAGCTCCCAAAGTACTGAGAATATAGTTGATGAAAGCAAACGCGGTATCTTCTTGGCATGACCTTGCCTTTCTTATGCCAACAGTCAAGAACAGTTTTCATGCTTGCTACTCACCTGAACTGTGCAGGTACCCCCCAGCCGCTCAAAGCAGTTGAACATTTGTGCCCTTAATGTCTATAAGCTGGGACACACTTCCTGGTGTTTCAGAAAGCAGCCTTCTTTTCCAGAGGTGGAGGAGATACACAAGTAAATGTGGTAATGGTAATGTAAGGGTGCTTGGACAGTGGAGGGGATGACTGAGGCTAACAGCTTTATAATGTTTTGGATGAAGTAATGTCCTCTTGATTGGCCATTAGAGGGAAAAAAATATTTTAAAACATAGTTGATAAAGACAAATTCTTGATGCATAGGCGTGTCCTGGCGACTTGGAAGCAGTGCTCCTTGTCACATGCTGCACCCTAATACATTCAACTATTGTTCCTCCTGTTGGGAGTGTGTGGGAGATGTCTGTGTTGTTTGAGACCAAATGCAGGGACTGGAAAGCTGGCATCTCTGCTTGCCTGTTCCTACTGTTTGTCTACATGCAGATTTTTTTTTTTATTTTTAGCTGATGAGCAGCTCATATTCTTATCTGGAAGCTGGGCGGAGAGAGAAACTGCTGGTGGCTTTTCCAGGTGATAACATAAGAAAATGCATGTGGTGAATTTATCTCATGCATTAGATTCTCCTTAATGGCATTTCAACAGAACTTGAATAAATTAGCACATACCACCACTCAGGTATTTTTACTTACCTGCCTAGCAAACACGTTGCTTGAGCTGGCAAGCCCTCACCATGACAAGAATCTCTGTGCTTATCAGAATGCCATTAGCAAATGAAATTTAAATGTGCAAGCTGGAGCAACTGGCCATGCTGCTCCAGCTTGCATGTTGGCTGGGGGTGGAACGACAATAAGAGGTCTGTCTTCATTATGCTGCTGGGCTTGATTATGCTCTGAGACTTTTGCAGCCCTTTTCTACCTGCAGGTTTCCAGTTCAATGTGCTGTGCCTAGGAGGGCCCTGCAAGCCAGCAGGGAGCAGCAGGGCACGAGGAGAAAGGACGATGTGGCAGCAGCAGGGAGAGGCCGTGACCAAAAACCCAAGTAGTCTGTCAAAATGATAGACTGTGCCAGGCTGCACACCCACGGGAACCAGTCCCTCTATGGGAAGATGCTAGCTCAGTTTCAAACTGCCCGACGCTTTAAATTGGAATCTTTTACGTATTTCTTGCTTTATTTTTATACTTTTTGAGTAGGCGGCTCAGTGGTGCAGGCTTGACCCCACTTTGCCTATTTTTTTATTGTTGACAAACTCCAGATGCCAACTGCTAAACTCAAGAGGAATTTGGAAAGTCAGACTACAGTGAATGCTGCAGTTGCCAAATATTTTGGGCTGCATCATAAAAAATGAACGCATTCCTTTTTCCAATGAGCTACAACAGAGAGTGAGCAATGAATGTAGACTGCCTTGGCCAGCCTGTTCCCATAGTAATAAATTGGATCAACACTGGTATCTGCATTAGAAACCTCCACTTCCAGAGCTGGCCCACAAACCTTTTGTAGTTCCCGGCTCGTGCGTCAGGCCCCGCACAATCAGTGTTTTCCCAGCAGCACCGCCAACCTTCGCCGCAGGAGCTCGGCTGGGTGATAAAGCATGCGGCCTGGGACAAAGCAGTGCTTGTTGTCTGTTTACAGCGAGGGGCTGGGGCTGGGGCTGGGGAAATACCGGGTATGGCTCAGGCTCTCTGCAAGAGCCAGCTCGCGAGGTTAGCTGGAGCCAGCCGCTTTTTGCTGACAGGCGTTATACAGTGTGGAAAGATTTAGGGACTTTGCACAGCCTGCAGGGCACAGGCGGAGTGCTGGTGTCAGTGTGCAGTACAACAGAGGGAGCCCCTGGCCAGCATTTTTGCCCCATGAGGCAAACATTCAGCCACACATGGTGTGTGGCCAGCAGCCTGCTGAGAGAGTGGGCAACGAGGAGTTTGCCCTGCTGGGGAAGCCACAGTTCCTTGCCAGGGCTAGGCCTGAGCATGAAGGTGTCAGAACCTTCAGTTTAATGTGCCTGTGGGACCTGAACTGAATACCTGGGACGTTCCCATACCTGTGAGCAGTACTTTGCAGTGAACATGTGGACTGTGTCCTGCTCAAGCCTGGCAACCAGCACTCAGGAAGGTGATGCTGTGACTGACCAGGCTCCTGCCCAGCCTGTCTGCACTGGCCAGTACAGCAGCAGAGAGACATCATTTCCCTGGGAAAAATGTGCAGTGGAAGGGAAGGTACTAACTCTGTAACAGCACTGAGGGAAAATGTCATCAAGGCAGGCCATAAATAAATAAATAAATAAATCACACCCTCACAATAAAGCTACCTGTGTTAGTATCAGGAGCTGTGTGTGTATGCACATGCACGCACCAGCAGCACGGACAAATCAGCCTATCCCCAGGGATGAGCCAGCTGAGGATGCCGGCCGAGCTATTCCGTCATTGCTCGCTCACCACTGCCCATAGAAGGAGCCTGAGGAGAGGAGCTAAATTTAGTTGGGTTTGTGAATTATTCCCATTCCCAACCCACCAAAAAAGCTGCACAGTTGATCTGGACAGTTGGAGGCAGAGTCTTAGTGGCAGGTCAGCCTTACCTAAGAAGAGGCTTGTGATGTTGTGGTGGTTTGTTTACTAATTTTTGGAAAGGCAGCATCCTGAATGTCTGGGGGTCTGGCAGCAGCTGGGCGACATGTGAGGCTATTGTGCCCCAGTTCAGCAATTCCCTCCCGCTGTTCCCCAGAGCAGGCACAGCCACATGCTGGGCACCTCCATCAGGCACCCAGGAAGCCCAGTCCAGGAGAAAGTGGACACAGCCACCTGGTGGAGTCACCCCGTTTATTGAATGCAAACAGAAGGCAAATAACTGGGACATGGTGGGGCTGTGATCTGACATTGGCTTCCAATTTTCCTGTGCAATTGGCAGCACAAAGGAGGAGGAAAAAACATAAAAATCTGTGTATTAAAAAAAATGTGAAAGAGAAGATGAAAAGAATGTTGAATGATTAGTGACACCTCGCGTGAACAGATGGGAGGATTAATGTGGCAAGGAAACTCAAAGCCGTGCCTAGCATTCCTTATTGCAAACAAGATTCGGCAAGAGGGCAAGGGCGACACTTTCCAAGGAAGAGCAGCAGAGGAGAAACCATCCACGCCGGCCCCGCAGCAGCGCAGTTACTTGGGGAAGACGGTGACCACCTCGTAGCCCTCTGGGGGAACCACCCGCTCCCGTGCGTGCTTCTCGCAGTAGATTTGGTCTTCCACGAAGAAGTGTCCTTTCTGCTTGAGGTTGGTGCCGCAGTCGCTGCACACATAGCACTCGGGGTGACGCTGCTTGTCCCGGATCTTCACAAACACGCCTCTGGGGAAGGAACCGGCACCCTCAGCACCGGGCACGCACCAACGCTGTCCCCACCCCAGCCACCTCACACAGGCCTGACCCCCTCCGGGTCTGACAGGCGACCATCTTCCCAAATACACCCTGCCTCTGCTCGAGCTGGTGCTGACAGATCAGTTATGCCCAGCAGGGGAGCCCTGCTCTGGAAACCATATCCTAGCCTAAATTTCCCTAATCTCCCTAAATTTCACAGGGCCAATCCTACCGCCTGTGGCAGCATGAATCACTGTGGTGATTCCGAAGGCGGCCCACCAGCCTCCAGAGGCCTGGATGAAATGAGGGGAGCAGCTTGGCCATTGTGTGGGGAACAAAATCCATGTGGGTCGACAACTACTGGTTTCCAGAACAAACCCAGGAACAACTGCCAGCAGCAACAGTGGGGACACTGCTAGCGACTGCGACGCCTGAGGCAGGAGCACAGGGTGACCAGCTCCTGGCCCCAGCCTCAGGTGCTGCTGCTCGGGAGCAGCGGTCCCACTCAGCATGAGTCAGTCTGACTGGAAACCCTCACAGCTTGACCCAACACTTGACAAGAGAAACTACATAGCAACTTGCTAGCTAGCACCAGCAGCAGCACCGGTTGCCAGGAGTATGATTTGGTTTCGGCAGCCACCTATATTTTCCATAATTCATTAGTTTTTACAGCTATTCACAGACCTGTCCTGTGCTTTCCCTCCAGATCCCCCTAGCTGACAGAGTAATTGTAGGATTTGTGTCAGATTCACATTTACAGCCTACAGATTGCCTCTGTAATGACTCTGCTGGTCCTTGGTGATGGAGGTGTGTGAGGACCACGCAGTTACAGCGCCCCGGGTCTCAGGAGGCAGTGTGACAGTCTGATCACACAGGAGAAATCTGAGTTTGTCCGTGGCGGTGCAGGGGGCTCCCAGCACTCGGCTGCTGGAGCCCGCTGCTAAGCTAAGGGGGTTGCGGGGAACTGAAGGAGAAAATGAGTGAAGAAGAACTATTGGTTGAGAAACCAGAGGGTGAATAAAAGACATGGGCTGTTTCCCTTGTGCTGTCACACAGTACAGAAGCTCTGTATTGTCCTTGCTGTGCTACAAGTCAGGCGTACCCTTACACGGGCAACAAAAATTAATTTTGCCTCAGCACAGCAGAGATGTTCCGTCCTGCAGCAGAGCAGGGAGCAGAAGGCAGCTCTCCCAGTCCACATTGCCTCTGACTGCCAGGGCACTGCGCTGCTGTATTGCTGGGAGCACCAAAACGTGAAAATCATTAAATACTGTCCCTAAAGGGAAAGGTCAGTTTGTTTCTGAGCACTATAAACAGGATTCAGGTAGGAAGAGAAACACTGCAGCCACAACTGCACCGGGGGTTGTCTCACAGTGACGTGCTTTGATACAGATCTGTAGAGGGAAACCCAACTCCGCCTTGCTGCAGGGATTTGCAGGGTGAGCGCTACCAAAGCTGGTGAGAACCAACATGCCTGGGCCGGCTCCTGGGCACGCTGGAGGTGAGAGGTGAGGTGTGCGCAGGCACATGGGGTGCCTGGGACAGGGACAGGCTTACTTACACAATGCCAGATCCACACTTGTCGCACATGGGCAGCTTCTGGGCATTCCCAATCGATGAGGCCACCTTTGTGGTGGGGGCCTTGACGCTCCTAAATCCAGATGGTTTGGTGGGGTCTCCTGGGGGTGGAAGGAGAGTGCTTCAGAGCATGTGAGATGCGTGGCTGTAGGCTCTCCTCCCAAGCAGATAGTCTGCTAGGGAGGGGTGAGGTCCTTCAACACCAGCTCTGAGGCAGGGATTCATGCATGGGAAGGAGGCAAGGCATTTAGGGTGTGTGAGGAGGAAGGAGACAAGGGACACAGCTTAGCCTGGCCCTGGAAAACTGAGGGCCTGAGGTTGTGGGCAGTAAGAAGAGCTTCTGCCCCGTCTCATCTTCAAAGCCCTTTGGACATCAGCTAATGTATCTTGCATGCACAGAGACACAAAGCAAAGCAAAGCCTCAGCTCCAGCCTCAGCAACACCAGAGCCTGCCTGCCATGTCCTGAGCACCCACTCAGAGTCAAGCTGATGGCCAGATTTGGGTTCAGAAAATGGAGACGGGTGTCCTGGCAGACAAGAAGGCCTGTCAAAGCCTTTTTCCACTCTGCTGTCTGCTGTAGGATGGAGCTGACTCCCCCACAACTCCTGGAGGATTTGTTTAACGAACCCCTTGTTGTTGCAGGGACACAGGGTGTGTGGCATGCTCCAGGGATGGCACCTCCCTAGTGCAACCTCTCTGGGGCAGGGATGTTCTGCAGGACCTTCACAAGAGACATCTGCTGACCTGGGTGCCTACAGGCAGTGGATCCTAGATGCAGGATAGGAGGCAAGCCTTCAAACATCTGCAGTGTAAAAGCAGCCTCTTACAACATGACACGATTGGTACAACTAGCCTTATCTGTATGACTTTTGCAAGAGGTTCAATACCAGGCAGGAAGGGAAGGAGGGCTGCAGAGGCTCCCACGACGTTTCACCAGGAACAGAGGAGGCTGATGGGCAGGCATGTGCCACCTCAGAGGGGAAGGCTGACAAAACCCCTCAGCCTAGCACCAAGCCAACATCGAACTGCACCCATTGTTAGTGGTGGAAAGGGACAAAGAATCCCACAGAAGCTCACCCTGGTGACTAGCACGTTCTGGGACATGTTGCAGCCCAGGGCAGGGCCTCCGACAGATGAACTGAGGGGAAAATTTGGGGCACTACCCATCCCACATTCCTGTCACCAAGCCCAAGTACCACTGCATTGCCTCATGCAGCCCCACACAGCACACTCCAGGCTGAGCTTACAGTCACTTCTGATGTGCCTCAGCATTTAGCCCAGGGACTTGAAGGAGCTCAGTGCTGAGATGCTGCCCCAGAAGTGCAATGCCCTAATGGGGACAGGAGTCCATGGACCCTTCAATCACACCGGCAAGCACCTGGCCCCCTTTACCGTCACTGCAGGTGACCCTTGCTGGGAAGGGCAGCAGCCCCATTTTCAGGCTCTACCCTATCACCCCTGCTTGTTCCCTCTGCTTCAGACAGCACTTAGTTCACACCAGTAACACTGACAGCACATTTTTAAATCTTTCTAAGGGAATCAGCTTAATAAAATACCCACAGGAAATATAACCTGTTCCACCTTGCCAAACACCCTAAGCCTCAGCGTGCAGGCTCAAGTCTAAACAGCGAGCAGCCGCCGTGCCTCCACGCACCAGCGCCCACACACAGACCCCAGGTCCTCCCAGCTGGTGTGGCTCAGCGCAGCCCACACCCCGGGGACCAGCCCCAGCTGGGGAGATGACAGCTCCCTGCTGCTGCACGCAAGCCATTGCCTGAAGACAGGCTCAGGGAAGCATCCCACAAGGGTGCTGTTTATCACCATGGATGTTATCAGTCAGCAGCAGTGGTGTTTGAGTAGGGGCGAGTGGCGCGGCTGGGGCGCTGTCTCCTCTGGGGCTGTGTAACCCCGCTCTGCACGGGTGATTACAGCTCACTGTGGAGCAGTGCCCAAGCCTATCCCGGCCTGTGATCAGGCAGGCAAACCTCGTGCCAGAGAATCCCAGTAATGCTGCAAATCTTCAAAGCCTGATAAAATAGAGAGGCTTTTGCTTCTTATCTTCTTCAGCACTACTAGGCACGGGGGAGGACCTCGGAGGCGTGAGAAGTCCTGGCTCCTCCAGTCCCTTCCTTGCAGGAGCTGAACTCTGAGGGGCGAGCTGCAAACACTCACAATTTAACAGATGCTTTCAGGTAGGTATTTTAATATCAGATTAAAGACTCCGAAATCCTGGTTTCTTTCTTCCTATAATTTCCTTACTTCCTTCATTTTGCTGTTCCCTTACAGATCACTCAGACCTAAGAGCACTTGGCTGAGCTGTTTCCCCTTCTGGTGAGTATCTCGGCACCAGGCTTTTGTTGGATGAAATTGAATGTTCCTCTGCCAAGCTAATAACACAACAGACAAAGTCTCAACTGGTCTAAAGGGGGAAAAAAGTCATTCTTTGAATTCTTTTCCTAATTATTTGTTTATTTTATTCTATTTAAGGGGAGAAGGGAGTATGATTTGGCTCCCACCTAAGTTAATCAGAGTTTTTATCTATAAGTCTATAGCCTTGAACTATACTAGTCCAGATGTCAGATCAAGAGTGCCAAGTAGTGTGAAGTTTCAGAGGTTCAAAGCTGTGAACTGATTGCTGTAACTCAGTTTCCAAATTTTTACATTCAGCTGCAGAAGTCGATCTCTTTCTTGTGTAGAGGGATGGAGACCAGAAGCTCTAGGACTCACTAAATAGTGCTATCTCGTGGTACCTTTAGAAGTCTTGACTCTAAGATGTTCCTTAATCAGTGAATATTATCCTAGAGGGGCAAAACTTTAGAAAGTGTAGAAGGGTTTTTGTAACTTTTAGAATTCCTTCTTGACAAATAAACACTGCAGGGGTTTATTTCTTTAGCCCTCAGTCAATGAATGAGCAACAATAATAGGCCCACAGACGCTGAAAAGAACCAAGGAAAAGAAATTTAAAAGAGTAAAGTTAGTGAAAGGGTCTGTAGGTTGTTTTTTTTGGAAACCATCTACACATGTTATCTTGAAGAAGCAACAGCTGAGAAAGGAGAACAAAGTTTCAGGTGTTACTCTGAGACACTGTATACAGCTGAAGAAATGTCAAAAGGGAAGAGCACACCCAGGTTAGGTGTGCAGCAAGGGCTTACCTTTCTCTTCTGACTCCAAAATCTCTTGCAGCACCAGGAAGGAAGCCGATTGCCTGGGTGGCTCATGCGACTCTTGGTTCTCCTGGAGCATCTTGTAAACCTCAGATTCTCTGTCTATGACGATACTGCCCGGGGGCTGGTTGTGCTGATCTAAACTGAGAATGAAACAGAGTACAGGCTTGTTAAATGGCTGAAAACTAAAGCCAGCTCCTCCAGCAAAACCATCACGATGCATCATATGACTGAGAAATGAACGTGCAAAATGAAGGCAGAACAGGATGCCATGAGACATGGAAGTGCTGGACGTGCTTGCACAAGACAGCTGCAGCCCCGGTGGGATTGAGGCACTGGGCCACCCGCACGCCCCACTGTCAGTGAGTCCTTGCCCACTGCCCCCAGCCAGCCTCTATGTGTTCCCCCAGCTTCACAACTGCTGTGTGCTCCAGAAACTAAACCTTCCTGTCCAGGAACCAGGAAAATAAAGAACGAATGTGCCGGGATGGGAATCCCACATGGTAGCTGTGTCATTACTGCATGGTCCCCACATGCACAAACCACCTGAGACTGCTACCTTAAGCTGCTGTGATTTTCAAATTCAGTATGCTTTATTCTGTCAAAAAATATTTGCAAGTATACTCTGAATTGGTCCTGAAGGCCACCTTCACACAGTAACAGCTGTAGGATGCAGCTAAAAAGATCCTCTGATTGGAAAGAGTTCTCTGTGGTTTTCAAGTGGGCATTATTATTTCCGTTTTCTAGGTGGAAACCCATAATCACAGCCTATTAACTGGAGTTAATGAGCACAGTCAAGAGCAAGGAGAGATTTCTGCCTGCTAAGACTAAGCCCACATTTCAACTGCTTTCTGAGGCACTGCTGCTGCCACTCATGTCACGAGCGACTTGCATCCTAAGCCTAGAGCTTGCAGTGCTACTGCACAGGGTTGCTCCACACTGGAGCTGAACCTGTGGTCACTGTGCCACCAGCAGGGTCCTCAAGGGAAAAAATATATATAAAGATGCCAGAGGCAATAGTTTGGATGTTCTCCATGTCCAGTAGGTACAGGACAAACCATGGGATTGATCTGCAGGAGGATATTCAGAGTATCCCTTGGGAAAAGCTTTCCAGCAGACAAGACTCCGAAATGCCATGGATTGCTGTGGACAGGTGAGCAAGCTCTGCACTGAAGAATTTAACAGAAGTCTGGACAAATATCTACTGTCTACTAGTTTAAATCAGTGGCTTAAATGGATGAAATGCTGGGGTAGGTCTTGTACTACGTGGCATGGGAGGTTCCTCCCATCCAAGTGTTCTGTGGATGGAATAAAACGTCTCTGGAAAAATGAGGTAAAAACTGACAAGTCTCCTCTGATGTCTCAATTACATAACACAGTCATATAAAAGTAAATGCTCTATTGGGTTTCACTATTCCTGCACCCTGTGATTGCCTGACATGTACATAAACATCCTGAAGTTCAGACTGAATTGAAGGGGGAAATCTTTTTAATGAGGAGGCGACTGCAGACTTTCCATGCCAATGTGCAATTGAGTCATCTGGGAGGTACTCTGCAGAATGAACTCTCTAAGCATCAGAGGTATAATCATTGCACATGCTATACAATGCTATTTCCATAAACAATTAGTTCATAAAATGTTTCCATCTTCAGTAATTCTCACTGGAGCAGGAAGCACATTAGACTTGCAAGTAGTTGAACTCTTGAAGCCTGAATCTCGTTTACTGAAGCGTCTCACCCGATATAAAATAATATTTCAATTACATGGAAAATGGCCCAAGTTATCCCAAATGAATACATGCTCCATATTACATTCCTCTTACATAAACTGATATACTGCCTCTACTCTGTCTACCTACAAAAACATTGGACAAGAAGCCTGTCCTTACAATGTGCATACTGAGAACGTTTCACAAACATGCATTTGAAAAGCAAAGGCTAAATCATCTTAACAAGCACAAGAGTCAAACAGAGCCATCACATTTCAACCATGCATTGTGATAGTGTGCAAAACATACAGATCAGCTCTCCCAGACAGATACACTTGCATGTACAAGACTTCAGAAAAGCTACATTAAAAAAACCTCAAACCCTAGAGAGTGAAACACCTCCACTTGTCAGGGAAGAAGGCTGCACTACTTGAAGAAAATCTAAACAAAGCACATACATGTACATCTTTAGAATGGGCAGGGACAAATGAATGTAGAGCATGCAGGATAACAAGTATCCCTATGTCAGCAGACGCATGGTACCTGCTGTCACCCAGGCACTCCACCTGCAGCAAACACCACAAGCTGGCGTCCTTGCTCAAGCACAGGAGTACCCTGACACAGCAATTTTGCAGGGGACAGCTTCAGCCACCTTTACTGGACTTCAAACTCCAGCAACTGTTGCTGGATTTCACTGCTTCTGCCCCAGGCAACTTGCAACACTGAAGGAATAATGCTGGATTACTGAGCTTTGAAAATTGGCAGGAAAATGGTAATAAAAGCCACAAAGACAGCCTTGTACAGCATCTTCAGGGAAGCACAGCATACTCATTACTAATGCGATTTTACTATTTTATGTTAGCACATCTTGTAAAGTTTACAGGGGTCTTAAAGCCAGGCTTCAGGAAGGTTTCGTACTTGCCTGTGCCACAAAACAACTGCTGATGCCTGGGGCTCCTTTGTTAGCAGGCATCAGCTCTCTGGCACAGCAAAAGACAGCCAGCAGTGTGCCAGCTCCTGGAGAGCTCAGCACTGACCACAGGCCTGAGCAGTGACTTGCTGCAAATAACTAGGCTGAGAAACAACGTGGGAGCAAATCCACAGCTCCCATTATCACTTGGCTGCTGACAAATGGCAAAGCCTGGCCGTGGGTGCCCAGGGGCCACAGGGGACTGGGAGCAGCCAAGGAGCTATGAGTCAAACACACGGGATGAAGACAAGCAGCTCCCTGGCCACATGGCAGCAAGACACTTGGTAATGTACAGGGGAATTGCTGAAGGTTCACCTCCTCTGAACAGTCCAGCCCTGGCTGGAGCCGTCCCACAAGATGGCAGAGTGTGCCTTGTGCTTCATGTCTCGATACCAAAGTCCTCCCTGTAAAACCCCATGGGCTGTCACTTAGAGGCACGGTCCCAAACCGCCACAAAGAGCAACCACCAAAGAGCACCAAGGCCTTGTGGTGCTGAGGCTCTCCCCAGGTCCTGCAGCCTTCAGAGCACATCAAGCATCCTCTCATGGGCAAAAAGAGCCCCAAGAGCCTGGGTCCTTCACACACCTGGTCCCACCTCGGCTGTGCTAAACTCTGGAGCATTATCAGCCAAAGAGGGAGACCTGTGGGCACCTGCATCATGCAGAAATGAAACACTCCTCAAAGGCCAGTGCACACCTGTGGCACAGACAAAGAAAGGAAAGCCACAGATCACTGTGCAGATGTGCAGCAGCACCCAGTAACAGCCCTTTTGGGCCAGGAGAACGACTAGCTTTCAGGATAAGATGCCCTGCACCCCCAAATCTGTCTGCTGCAAGCAACTCCTCCAGGAAAACCACCGAGCTCCCTGCTGCATGGAGTTACAGACACGTGGGCAGGCTGAAATGATGTTTTGGTGCTCGTCACGGCGCTGGACACAGACACGATGCAGAGAAAGCTCCCGTGGTGTCATGCACTGCCCTTGGGAAGGCGAAATGTAACCGCTGGTTTCTTGTGACCACCAATGCTGTGAGCCACAGACAGGGATGAGGCACTCGTGGACACCAAGATGCGGATGAGCGGATGCGCTGCGCTGGCCGCAGAGGCAGCAGGCAGGTTACCTGGGGAAATCGGGGCTGACGGAGGAGATCTGCCCCTGCAGGGAATCCAGGATGTTGCTCTGCGAATAGAGCTGCAGGGGAGAATTGAACTGCACGTGCAGCACCTTCAGTCCTGGCACCTCCACCTCCACGGGGCTTTTGGGGCAGACCTGGGCCGCGTGCTTCAACTGCTCCGGCCCCACGCGGACCTGGCTGGAGGGGCTGTGCCTACGCTGCTGCTCCATGCCGGGCGACTGCAGGGGGTTATAGACGGTGGCGAAGGGAGCCTGCTGCGCGCTCGTCGGCGATGGGCGGCTGCAGGCACGGGTGCCCACGTGGGATGGGCAGTGAGAGTTGTGTTTGTTTGAGGTGTTTGTTTTTTATGTGGTAGAATCGAGCGAAAGTGGCAGAGGAGGAAGAAAGGGAAAGAAGGAAGTAGTTAATGAAGAGCTAAACCAAATACACCAAGTGACATAAACAGAACACCACCTGTTGCTTGTGCCGGAGGGATATGCCACTGAATACATCACTTTACATTAAAAGCTTCTAGCTGATGCTGGAACACCAGTCTCACACTCCAGGTGTGTCCACACACAAAGCAAAACGCAGTCACACCACTTGCAGCCACTCCACTTACAGAAGCAATGAAGACGGCAGCAGGTGTGAGCACGAATCCATGGTCCCACTATCTAGGCATGACACTTTCACTTCTGCCCTACCCAAAGCTGGCCTGGGCATCCCACTGAGCAGCAATATCAAGTCCAATACCAAAATGGCCATGCTTAGTGGTATGGCTTTGTCCTGCCCTCCCCCTCTGCTCTGAGACCAAACCCTACAATTTATTAGCCTCACTGACAAATTAATTGTTAAATAGTCTTGGCTTCCAGGGAGCACTCTCAACTGGAGGGGACTCTAGGCTAGTCCAGAGGTGGAATTTGACTGCCAAGTGGTCCCAGCAGGTTAACACAAAGCCAGATTTCCCTTGTCCCTGCTCTGCCTTGACTCAGCTCTTGAATGAGGCCACTGAGGTCTACCAGAAGCAAATGAGGAGTGAATACCCATTACCCTGTCCACCAGCTGCAGCACCATTGCTCTGCCCAGAAAAGCCAATGCTGCTAGCTGGGCAAGAAACTGGTTTCAGCCAAGAAAACTTTCCATGCTTGTATTAAACCACGCTTTGTACACTGCAAAAGCAGTGTCTCAAGTTACTTTTGTCTCCTTAGTCACAAGTGAGAAATTTAGTCAAATATCTCCAAAAGCATGGATCTTGCAGCTTTTGTTTTAGAAGTAGCCAAAGTCTTCCAGGCAGCTTGGTACTGCTATACAGAGACTTGGGGCAGTTCAGCAACACAGCCAGAAAGATTTCAGAAAGCTTCTGGCTTCTGGTTTATAGCTTCTATTAAAGAAAAAAAATAAAAAAAAAGGAACCTTGTACCTCTGGGAAAAAGCCCTGGTCTTGGCAAAGCTCAGGTGCAACCACAAACCTTTCAAGGTTGGGACCGTTTTCAGTCCCATACATAAAATCACTCATACAGGTATAAAAGCTTAAGCTACTTTTTAAAACTGGTGTGACAAACTGAGTTTGATAATAAAAATAGAAAGATCCGAGCCTGTCTGTGAACGCTGGGCCAGCCGGGAGCTGGGACGGACGGACGTGCTTCCTGCGCTAGCCATACCCTTCCTGCCCCGCACTGCCCACACAGCCAAAACAAGACGCCGAGTGTACAAAGTGCTCATAACAAGCTGTCAGGCACCTGTTCAGACCAGAGGGCTGGTATGTCATGCTGAACGCACGCGGAAACTGCGTCGGTCTCTGCTAAACAAAGAAAGACAAGAGCATTAATTTCATTCCCACACCGCACGAAACGCTCCCTGCTCCTCTGAGCCCTGCCCCTGGGTGCCACGTCTGCTGCTGCCTCTGTCCTGAAAGAGAGCTTTTTGGGTTAAACCAGGACCCTGCCAGCGAGCCTCCCCCAGGCCGGGCAGGGAGGGAGAGGTGAGGGCAATACTTACGGCTTGCTAGGCTCGGGGGCCCCGGGAGATGTCTTTGACTCCACGGCATTGTTGAAGGTCTGGATGTTTTCTGAGGAGTAGAGGCCCGCCGGGCTGTTGTACTGAGCAGTGATCACTTTGGGGGCAGAAGCCGTGGCAGCAGTGAAGGGGACCGCGCTCCGGTTGTGTGCGCTTCCTATGTGCCTTATTTCCTGCATGCAAAGGAGCAAAGGCACAAATCAGAGGTGCTCAGGCGTGCGGGTGGGACGTGGCGGGCAGCATGGTGCGAGCAGCTGCTGCAAGGCACGTGGGTCACCTGAGGCTCACACCACCCCAGACCAGACCACCAAAGCTGGCGAGGGTCCTCCAGACATCAGCAGCGTCCCCGTCCCCCTCCTGGTTAGTCAACATACCCTTCCTTGGGCTGGCACTTAGGAGGTTTTGGAGGTGATGCACCAGGAAAGAAAGAGCTCAGAAATATGGCCAGAGCAATTAGCTCCAGCTGCCACACGCCTGGGAGCTCTGCAAACCACAGACCCACCTTCTCACACGAGACTACAGATTGTAAGTATTCTTTGCAATTTCTGGAAGCAGGAATTCTATGGGAAAGTGGAGATGAGGGGCAGAAGGAGGAATACTCTTCAGTGGCAGCCCAAAAGAAGGGATTTGTCATGGCTACAAATGCTCTGGAGTATGTCTGTGCCTTCATTGGAGACAGAAGTTCACAGCTGTCTTTCATGAACAACTTTGTTCTCTCTGGACAAGAAAACGCCACGGTAAAGGTGGGAAGATGATCCTTGTTAAACAAAGCATTGTCCAGAGGCAGTGACAGCTAAATGCCTTGACAAGACCAGAGACTTCTTTAGTACCAGAAATCACCCAGATGTTCTGGGTTTACAGCAAACCAGAGGCTTCTAGAGGCATTAGTGGATACTTTATTGGCCAAATCCAAGTTAAATTAGACGTGACACGAGACTCTTCCAAATCGCTAACAAAAAGGGGAAATTTTGTAACGCCAGCTCTAGTTCAGAGTCTGGGAATTGCAGCCCTGGGGCAGAGCTAAGGACAGCCGGGGCTTGTTCCTCCTTGACCAAACCAAGGTGAGCTTAACGGGGCCTCAAGAGAGGAGGCAGAAGAAAGTTCACAGAGGAAGCTGAAATAGCCAGGGCAAACAGATGGCACCAAAATGTGCATTTTGAAATGTTCCAGCCAGAGGCTGGGAATGGCTTCGTTACAGGGCTAACGCCCAATGGCACAGGATGAAACAGGGCCCTTCTCAGCATGCTGGGCTCCCAGCTCCCAGCCCTAATTACCACAACCGGTTTCCCTCCCACTCCGTATACACACTGCCTTCGACAGCCACGATGTGAGCCTTCGCTGCCCTTTGAACGTCTCACGGCACTTGTTTGATAGAGCTATAGTTACAGAATAAACACTCGTTAGAAACAAGTATGACTAAATTCCCCTACAGATTTTCCTTTAAATCACTTATATGCCCCCAGATTTCCTTCTGCAGCTGGCTTGCCTTCCCAAACTTACAGCTGGGAGTCATCGTGCTCCATGGCACACATCAGGTGCAGCACAGGACCCCTTACAGAAGAGGAACGTAGCTCCAAACTCACTCATGAGTCACAAACCATTTGAAATCAGTAGGGCAGCTCGAGAAGTTCAGGTGTGGGGTGGCAGGACTGCTCTCCCACGGCTTTTTGGCCAACACAAATGGAAGTCAGCCACAAAACTTTCCCACACACCGAAGGAAGAAAGACCCTGGAGTAATTAGCTAATCTCTCTTTGTTACAATCTCATTCAAAGCACATGACAGGGCTCATAAAAATAGTCTTTCCCATGGCAGAAACTGTGGATATTAGCAAAAAATAATCATTACTTCAGCATGTAAATCACACCATGGGGAAAAGTATCAGTGCTCTTTTATCAGCATTAAGCGCACATGTTAGAACTCTATTCAGAGGCCGCAAGCTGGAGAGGGGATATGCTGTGTGTATGAGCAGCTGGTTTAATGAAAGACAGAGGCAGGAGTTTTAGGACAAAGGGGTTATACTTTTAGGTCACATAGGCTCAAAGTTTAAATCATGTCACAATCTGTATTATGGAAACATTTAACTACTAACCAAGAATTACAGAAAGGGAAGTCATTTAGGGTATTTTTTTAAAAAAAGATCTGGTTTCCTAAGGAAGTAAGGCATCTCAATTACATGCTTTGTATGCATGTGGGCGTGTTTCCACCCCACCAAGGACTTCTGAATCTGTCAGCCAAGCCCAGATCACTGTGACAGAGTGACATAGGCCTCAAGGATGGTTAAGCTCCTACAAGCTTTGAGAGAATAGGCAGCCAGATGGAGAAAAGAGACTGAAATCATGTTAGTGCCTTGACTCCATGAACTGCAAGTTGTGCTTGGGCACAGAAGCCTCATTGGGGATTTTGGCCCACTTGTGGCCCCCTGTTGTGTAATGGCAACCAAGTCCATAAATGAAGCTTCCAGAATTGTCATCTGTAGCAGCACTCATGGCTAAGGTCCACAGGAGACTTTAAGGCAGTTTAAAATAGCTTAAATAGAGATAGCTGGGCTGAAGGTGGTGTCTGAAGATTAGGTTAGAAAAATCCCATCTCAGGAAGAATGTAAGTCTGTAACCTGAGAGCCTACAGACAATATCACAAGAGCAATAACATTATAAAGGACGTTTGGATAATCCAAATTCTCCAGTGCTTCCTGTTGTGCTGTGCTGCTTTTTCTGCTTGAGCTGTGGAAGGAATTTGCAAAGAACAAGTGCTTTCATGTACCAAAACCAAGATGAAAAGATAACTTCTTCTCACTGTCAAATATATTTACATAGTGATTTGCCAGACTTGCCAACCAGGCCCTGTGTTGGGCATTAGTTTTGTGAAAGCCCCAGCTCCTGAGATCATTTGTTTATGTGAGGAACTCTGATTTAACACTGGAAAAAAAAAATCAGAAATGTGGCACTCCCAGGCACCTGACCACCAGCAGGCAAGCAAAAAAATGTTAGCACAAAACCACCGGGATGCTGCATGTACTTGTGTGGGGGCAGTGCCAGATTTAGGCAGTCGAAATGTTTGGGGTCTGCAGCATCTCTGCAGCTGCAGATCTCCCAGAACCAACCCAAGAGGGGGAAAGAGGCATCATGTGCAGCATCCCCAGCGGGAGCACGGCCTGCAAGAGCACAGCAAGCGATGCTCTGCTTGCGGAGGCAAGCCAGCAGCCAGACACATGGAAATGCAGGGCTTGACCCGCTCTTTCTTTCCCCATAGCACAGAGGAGTGTGGCCAATACTTTCCTGAACTGTGTCTTCATGGAGGCTGGAGGGTGGCAGAACAGGGTAAAACCTACCAGCAACTGCACAGACATCTCTGCCAGCACGCTTCTGAATTTAGAGCAGTCCCGTCTTGCTTTCCTTTCAAAATGATGTGGGCTTTCAGAGAGAAAAGAAGCTACACAACCAACAAGGTTCGTAGCACCCTGGTTCTAGTTCATATGCACAGGTCTCCTGCCGGATGGGATTTTGGGGCAGCCTATTCCGGGCAGGGAGCCACCAGCCACTTCGGTGCCAGCTGTGGGGACGGGGACAACGTCCCTGTGGCGGGGCAGGAAGCGGCTCAGCATTTCCTACCGCGCCGGCGTCATGGGGAATTATCTGGGAGAACAATGGCCCCTTCCTCCTGCTCGCGCCAGGCCACGCTCGGGGACGCCCGAGCCTGTGAAATCCCCTCGGCTGTGCCTGCTCTGGTGGCACGGCTGGCTGCTTCCCCTGCCACTCATCTCGGATGCTGAATCATGACCGAAGGCCACTTGAGGCACTGTCTGAAGCTCCAGGTCATAGTGTCAGTGGAGCTCAAGGGACTCACTCATATTTTATGGTACAAATTGGGAAAAAAAAAAAGCACCCAGCAAGTTCAGCAACAGCAGCCCTGCAGGCCCCAGAGCAGCACAGCGAGCTGGCCAAGCCGTCGACCTCACCGGGCTGCAGAAACGGAGGCTCGGGGCAGACGATGCCAGCATGTGCGCCTTGAGAGCCACGCCAAGAGGAAACACGATTAAACGTTTCTCAGTCCAACTGTTTACTCAGCTCGAAGAAAATGGGCCCCTGACCAAACCTCAGCAAAGGAGAGTGCTCCAGTCATGCTCTGGGTGGGGAAGGAGAGCAGAGACCGGCAGCCAAACTGCCCAGCCCCATCCTTGCCCTCGCAATGCCGTGCAGGGAGCGAAAGCTGCATCGTGCCCATGGAGCACATCAGCCAAACACAGCAACACCTCTGCAGAGGACATCTTCACGGCAAGCTCCAGCTGATGCTGCATCCCACCAGCTGCAGCTGCAAGGAGAAATGCCTTCATTTTCACCTCTCCCTCTGTTATTGTTTGGGGTTTTTTCTGCTATGGAAAAAATCTTCTGCAATGCTTTGAAATCTGATTAGAAATTAGGAAGGGTCTGGGGCTTTGTTATTGTAGGGGGGTAAAACAACAAGGCTGGCTTCCCACATCCTCTCCCTCTGAGTCCCCAAAGCATTCCACATCCATGCGGTAACGCCTTTTAACCGAAAACAGCGGGTCACCATACTTTGTTACTTTATATACCTATTGCTTCATACATTGCCCACGCATGCAAGGCCTTATCAAAGGCCAGGCCAGCCACACACCCAGTTTCTATAGCCCCAGCCTTCTCAGTATCCAAGGAGATAAAATACACAAGGCGGAAACAATGACATCACTCGGCAAGGACGGCGATGGGGACGGGGACAGGGACAGGGCAGGCACTCTCTCAAGAAGCCTCGGGAGGACAGAAGCAGCT